GCATCCAAAATGATGCACTAGCAAAATTCACCCGGCTTCCTCTTGCAGTGAGTCTAACAAACAGGGAAAACCCTGCCCGGCTGAATAAACTGCATGTTAGTGAGGTGCACGTGCGCTCCCCCGACAAGGCTGCCCCCAGGACGCAGGGACACACAGCACAGCCACAGCACGGCGAGTCACCACCACACCACCTCATGGTGGCATGAGCAGTGTCTCTGTTTTGTCTGCTCCCACATTTTGCCTTTTCTGCCATCAGGATGAAGGAACTGCAGCTCCTTCCTCTCCCACAGCCCGTAAGCCCACCTGGACACGCACCCAAATCAGCTCAGTGGTCACAGCGCAGTTTTGTAGCCATGGACACCCCAAAGACAGATCTCCTGGGACTGAACAACCAATCCTGCCTTGTGGATTTCAATCTGCAAGACAGAGCCATCCCACAAAAAGCAACCAAAGAGGGATAAAGGATGGGAAGGAACAAAAGACTCATCGTATTCTTCTACCTCTCAAACCAGAAAAGGACAGAAGAAGGAACTGGTTTTGATCAAGGCCCCGTTCTAGCTGCAAGCTGAGCACTTGAGGGGTTGTGAAGGCAGGCAAGTAAATGCTTCTCATTTGGCATATCCTGCTTACAGATGTACCATGTAGTAAATCATCCCGAACCAAAGCAGACACCCGCATAACTGGTATCACAAGAGCAATGCTGAACCCAGACCCTGGGTTCAGTACCTATGCCAGACTGAAACACTGCACGCAGACGTCCACCCCAAGGGGAAGGCTTCACGTGCCCTCCCCTTGCTTGCATCTCCTGGCATAAGGTATTCCTAGGAGGGAAAAAATAATAAAATAAAAGCCTGTGTAAACTAAACAGCTAGAATGTTGGCTGAAATCAGATTGTAAGAGTATTGGAAAGTTGCATCTGCAAAGATGAGTGTTTCCCTGCCGAACAGGTTCCAGGAGCCGTTTGCATCCAATTCCCAAGGCAAAACCGAAACAAGCTGCTGCTAGGCCGGAGCAATTTGCTTAGCCAATCTCCTGGGATGCTGCTTCCACAGCCTTCATTATGAGAAGCTGGCACCATGAGCTCCTTTCCCTGAAATCTGTAGGGTCAGACACAAAATAGCCTCTCAAGGATCAACACCGCACGTGACGTTAGCCAACCTACCCGGCAGCACAGCCGGGCAGCCAACCTGGCCATGGAACCGAACCTGCTCTAAAAAAATCCAAGTGGGTTTTGTTGAATGCAATGCAGTTCAGATCTGGAGTCCTTGTGGATTTGTCACAAGGTATAGCTCCACCATATTTCCAAACAGAATTGAGGCAAATCCCTTGTCCTACAGAAATGAGGAAAACAAACGAGGAGAACGGAGAACTTGCTTCTGAAATAAGAGCTCCCCAAGAGTTGCTCAGCTTGCTCCAGCCACTGCAGCAAATCTTGCAGATAAGAGCTGGGACAGAACCTAGCTCAACCTATTTCTTCTCCTCCTGACTTGGGCTGATCTTACTTTTCCCAACATAAGCAAACCCAATTAAAAAGCACGGGGCAGGTAGCTCAGCAGATCTCACCTAACAAAGCAAGCCCTTGCAGGAGGCGTGTTACCAGACCACGGAAGGGCACTTGTGTCACCACAGGATCAAGAAACCAAAATCTGCTGCGAAGCTGAGCATTTCGATCACCTCCTTGGCACCAAACAACCCGGTTGCATCTTGAACCCTGCCCACACCTTGCCCCAGTGAGCAGAGAGCCCTGAGCAGCAGGGACTTTCCTGCTCACAGAAACGCTTCTCCCAACTCGTACACCCCTCCACCCAGGAACGATTCAGAAAGAGTTTGAAAAATATTCCTTGTGATTAGCAATCCGGTCAAATTAGATTCACATTGTTTCTCCTTTAGATCAACTACACCTGCAACCCTGGCTTTAGCTCTGGCTAACTGCAGTTTGGCAGTCCGGGCCGGGATCCTGAGGAAATCCAAACGGCATGGCCCCAGCCCGGGCACCAGCCACCTCCCAGCTGTGCCCCCAAAGCTCCCTGAGGGCAAAAAGCACTCCGGGGAGCCAGGAGAGAGATGGGAGTGGGAGCAAAAAAAATTTATCAGTTTCGCAGCTTCTCTTTTCTACTCCCCTCCTATTTTCTGCCTTTTCTAACCCTCTCCAACTTTGACAAAGGTATGGAGTGACAAAAATTCATTATTTTATTTTTCTCCTTCATCTTGGTTTGGAAATTTTACAGAAACATGTTTGTTTTTTTCTTCCCTCCTCCCCAAGACCAGGGGGAGAGCGATGTAAAAGAGCAAACCCCAGGCTTTATTCAGGCAACCGCATTAGGAGCTTTAAAATGGAGGGGGAAGAGAAGGAAGTATTCAGGAAAACCCCAAATAAGAGAAGAAAACCACAGAAGGATTTATTTCTGAAATAAAACCGGAGTTTTAATTCCTCCCCATCTCTCCATCAAAGCCTAGGAAAGTATTCTCTTCTGTTTCTGTATCATTTCCTACCAAAGCCCTTTGGTGGGGTTTGATCAGAACTAACTCGAGCTGCTCCTTACGAGCCCAGCCGTCTGGCAGGAGGGCGCCGCGAGGGGTGCCGGGTGTGCAGCTCCTCTCCTAACAGCAGATCTGTTTTTTCTCTATCTTGTGAAAACCAAGGGGCTAATACAAAAACTCCTCTGTAGGTGCAAACCCAGTTTGATCACCCGCATCAAGTGAAAATATTGCACGTGCATTGATGGTCGCCCCCCAAGGCCCTGAATTATGGCCACTAACAGTAAGCTCTGGGCACCCCAGCACCCCAAGAAGGAACACAACCAAGACCTTTGTCCCATGAGGCATCCAACAGGGACAGCTGGGAACAGCAAACACAAAGCAAGCTTCCAACAAGCATTTGATTGTAACACAGCAAGCCCAAAGCAACCCTCATCGCTCCCTGTTCATGCATCTCATCTCACCCTGTCCCTCTGCTCCCAAAGGGGAGCGATGGGTGAAGCCCCCTCTGCTTTCCCTGCCCCTGCTGTGGGCAGTCACCTTCAGGAAGGCAGCAGGGGACAAGCAGACAGGAACATGTTTTAATTTGCCCCAGCACCAGCTGCCAGCCTCTCCAGGAGCCCCACACCCCACCCGGGGTGACCCAAAGCACCGGGTGCCTCAGCCAGAGCCCCTTTGGCTCTGTCCCCAAGGAGTCTCGGGCTGAAGGTCTGATCCAAGTGATTTTGCCACAGGCAGATCCAGATCCTGGCCCAAAATACTGTGCTGGCGCGGCTGGCATGGAGGTGCTGGAAGGGCAGCTCGGCCCAGAGAGGTCGGCTCTGGGAGCTTCCCGTCCCAGCTCCAACCAGAGCGGGTCTGCAGGAGGAAAACAAGGCCCTGGACAAAGGGAAATGGAAACCAAATGGGAGGAAAACACAAGAAGATGAGAAGGGAGCCACAATGCACAACTGACATTTCAGTGTCTCCACCGTAGTTTGCCAACCTCAAAAGTCCAAAATACAGCAACAAAGCATTTACGGGGCCACTCCAGAACTACCAAGAGCAGTGGGAATCAGCTCCCTGGGCTTGCTGGGACCAGGCCCCCCAAGGCAGAGCCTGTACGGGCTTCCCTAAGGCCACAGGCACATTTTTTGTCAGATGTTGGAGCAGCCAAGTCTCCTGAACAGCACAGATTGCCCCTGCGGAGGGCTGGCAGCAGACCTGGCCACCAGGAGCCACACCACAAGGGTCTCCCAGGAATGGCAGATCCTAGGTGGGTGCCCAGGAGCACAGACCACTCTTCTGGCCATAAAAACGTGGATTTCTGCCAGAGACATCCCTGGCATTTCCCTGAAGTCCCTGCATGGCTCAGAGCAGTCACCTCTCACTGTGATGTCTATTCAATTTGTTGGAGGGCACTTTGTGGTGCCGTTACAGTATCTGTTCAGGAAACATGCTGTTACACAGCGTGGAAACTTCATTAAACAACACATCGGATTTCTTCTGATGAGCTAGTGCTGCACAGAGGAAGACTTCAGTGCAACTTCCCAGCAGCTCTGGGGTAGACGGACAACCCCTTGCTGCCCTCTTACTCTACCTGTTTGGGTTTTTTTGGTCACACAGAAGGATTCAGCACAAGGGGAGATCCTTGAGAGAGAGTAGATGCTGCAGCCTAAAGCCTCGCAAGGGACTGCCCTCCTCGCTGGCACTGGTACGAGTTCACCACCTCTTCAAATCCTGCTGTGTGGTTTGCCTCCGAGACTCCTCTTGACAATTCCAGCCCAGTCCATTTGCTGCACTTCTTTGAGGCACTGCATGCCAATTGCCATTCTCTCCTAATTTACATTTTTCCTAACACTATTCATCCACACAAATGGTTAATCTGAGTCGTGGTTGAATCCACTCCCAATTATATTGCTGAAATGAGCAAAAAAAGGGGGTGGGGGGATCAATGCTTTGCTTCCATGCAACAAATGATCTCGCACCTCAGTTTGCTAATTTATCATTGTTCGTTTGAAAAATAAGCTTTATTGCAATTCCTTTGGTTTCCCTGGAAATGCCGGGTTTGCCTCGCCTCTCTTCTCCTATGCAATAAGACAGGAAAGACAGCAAATCTACCCAAAGTGATCTGACAGCTTGGAGTGCTGCTAATAATACTTCAGTACGAGCATGTTCCTGATCCTATCACCAAAAGGAGCAACTGATAAAGGACACCAAGAGGCAATATCCCCTGCGGAGATTGGAAGTATCAGGTAGATTCCTTCATTGTGTCCTCAAGCGCCTTGGTTATCAGCAAGACTAGGACAGCGTTACCTTGTCAGGGAAGGACTCAGACCTGTGGGGCCAAGAGAGCAGGGAATCAGAGCTCTGCTTGGTAATTCAGCAGAAGCCTGCTTGATTACATGGCATTAGGCACACAGAGGTCTCCCTCTCGCTCCTGAAGCTGGAGGAGGGCACATCTTTCGGATCTCCCACCGGCAGCCTCCTCTTCCCCTCGCAGCACAGACACCACCCCCAAGCCATATTTTGTAGCCACATACCTGATGAGAGGTGGGCCATGGGAAAGTTTACAAGTCCTGAAGGCCACATCTTCATCCTGCAACCACGCCAGAATCCTCCCTCAGCTTCACACACCGCCGGGGTTCCGCTTACAACACGCGGCATCGGCTCGGCACGCACCCTGCCCGCCGGGAGCTGGAGCAGCCCGTGTCCATCCCCTGGTCCAGCGCAGAGACCGGCCTCAGCCTCGAAGCATCCCTCCAGCTGCTCTCCTCCTCCTCTCCCCTGGCGGGAGGCTGGCGGAGGCAGGAGATCTTCCCTGATCTTTCCTTAACAAGCCCCCTGTCACAAAGCCGTACTCCAAGGGCCGGGGGGAGCGCTGTAATTAAAGGAGCAAATACGCCCTGGTTTTGAATATGCAAGGGGCTGGGTGACACAGGCGGGATTGCAAACCAGCTGGCTTATTGTGGGGCAGACAGCTGCTGCATTTGTCAGGCTTCACTGCCTGCTCAGCCCAGCACCCTGCTACAAATACGCCGAGAGAGAGACTTCCAGCACCGCATGTGAGACTCCAACTTCCCCTCCATCAAGCAGGCACATAAGCCATCCGTTAAATGGGGTCAGTGTTAATTAACCTACTTTAAACCCCTTTATACAGTAAAAAGACTGCTTTTCCCTTTCTGTGGACACACAGCTTCATCTGCCAGCGTACCATTACGCTGTACAAAGCCAAGCTCTGATCTGCAGGGGGGGGGACTGTGCAGCTCCACACACAGCACATCCCCAGCAGCCAAAGGCCTCCTCTAGCAGGACCTGTGGGTGGAAACTGTGGAAAGAAAGGAGCTCACTGAGAGTACTCTGTTAGGAAGGTGCACTGTTCACGGAGGGGCTTCTGGTTTGGGTGTATATTTACTGAAAAAACAAGCGGATGGAATATATCTCATGGACCCCTGTTAAGGGCTCTCCTTTCTCTGCTGCTATTCACAACCAACTTCCTACCGTCTTCACTCAACCACATCAAATCGTCTTCTCTCCCCATCAAAAGATCTGCAAAGCCCAGAGGATCTGCTGGAGAACGCTTTTTTTTTATAGGTTCTTTTAAATACAAAAGATATCTCAAAGTAAAGACTGAACGTATGACTTATGAATTCGTTGCCAATAACTCAAACACAGGTTCACACGCTTCATGCCAGACCTACCTGTAACAACAACAAGAAAACCAACCAAATATATCAAGTCCCAACATTTTACATCAGGCACTTTCTGCCATTTTATTTGTGTTACAAAATTGTAAGCTTTGACTACTCCTATTATTTCTGGTGATTTACTAGCCTTGAACCTGAACTTTCAAAAACAAACCTGCCTTGCTGTAAAAGGACCAAGGAGTGCATTTACTAGGAATCTTAGCCTCAGTTTGAAGCCTAGCAGAGATGCAGCACTGCAGTTCTGACCCTGAGATAACTAAATCTGCTGGGATACAGCCAGGTTCAATTACCTTGGGGTAAAAGCTGGAATATCACTGATCCCCACACCTGAAAAATCAGGAGTCAGGCCTGAAAATGAATACATACAACAACCCATCTCAGGATTGGGGACAGGGAAAGGTTCCTCCTCTAACACGCAGCTGGCTCAGATTTCCACTCATTTTTCCATGAATGAGGAACACCAGAAATGATTTCCTTAAGGGATGCTGAGAGTCTGCCCTGAATTCAAGAGCCAAGGCCCTAAGGAAAACCTCAGAACACCCAAGTGTCTAAGAAAATAACACTAAGACAGGCTTTGTCTCCGTGAGGACTTTCCACTGACATCCTCACCCCTCCCCACCCCGCCCTTCTTTCAAATGAAGCAAAAATCCCCAGTTTCAGATATGCCTTAGAGAAACAGCCTTTCTGGCTTACCTTTGCTATCGTGTGTTTTTCCCTCTACTTCCCCCTCCCTTTAACCTAATTTGCTCTTCAGATGTAAATCTCAGCTATGTGGATTTCCTAACTAGTTCATAGTACCTCTTTCATCAATATTTTACATTATAAAAGACCAACAAGACTGTATGAAGAAGCCTCTGCTGTTATTTTTTGTGACTGCCTCAGAGAAGAAAACGCTGCTAACGTAATCCATGTTCACCAGGACACACTGCAGGTATAGCAAAGCTCCGTGTGCGCTATGGTATCTGCATTTCTTTTTTTCACCTCCCCCCCCCCAAACCATGTATGTCTGGCTACTGGACCCCAGGCATGATTTTAATGGGTGATTTTTATAGGTGTGACAGCTGGAGTAAAGCACTTAGCACTTGTGAAAAATCAGGTCTCATCTCCAAAGTCAACCTGGGCATTCAAAAACCATTAGTTGGATCCTAAAAAATAATGAGATTGGCTTAGAAAACAAGATCTTTTTAGAAATTGTATGCTTTCTTCACCTTATAGTGTTTCTGCCTCTTGTGGCTATGCTCAAGTCTTCCCTTTTCCACTTCCCAGTAAGGAGAGCTAGAAATATCCTCCAAATGCAAACAGGGAATCCTCCCCTGAAGCACCTGGCTCCTGAAACTGGGATTTCAGGAAAAAAAAAAAAAATCCCAGTTTCATTAGATTTGTGCTAATAGAAGCGGGTAAGGGTGCATATTCCCACCAGAAGCAGGTTTTGTTGTGTAGGTCTCTTGCAGGTGACAGAGGTATGGCTGCGCTCCCTCCTCGTGGATGTTGCTGGACAGATTTCACGGCAGCTGCTCTCTCCCAGTAGTCAGAATGGGGACACGCACGTTCAGAAATCAGACTTTTGCTTGGACTTTCAGATTTATACTGAACATAATTCAGAGGAAAACTCCCACAGTGTTGGAATCGTTGCATCCATTTCCCACAGCCTCAGACGCTGCAGGAGACCTCCTTCCCGCTGGCTCTAGGAGAAACATCAAGGCCCTGCCAACCCCACCAACGCCTCCCCACATTCGCATAGGATAAGGGAGTAACCTGAAGCCTGGCTTTTTGGGAGGCCTTCACCCAAGCATTTCAAAGCTCTGGGGGAGGCTCAAGACAAGACTGAGCTTTGTATCTTACTCCTTTTGAGGGTGGGAGATGAGGGGAGCAAAGTACTCAATGCACCATCACAGCAGCGTGTCCAACCTAGCCTCACTAGCACACTGGCAGCGATCTGTCCAAGCCCTGAGCTGGTGGAAGCCAAGCAGCACATGCTAGATGGCCTCCCGAGAAGGTCTCGCTGCCATCTCCTCCCTTACCAACTCAACAGCAACGCCTCCCTTTGAGGGCAAAGCCACGTCCTTGCGCTTTGCTGGCAGCACCTCGGCTGTGAGGCAGTGTGAGTGAGGCACTGCTCAGCAGCCTGACCCAACACAGATCTGGCACTGCAAAAGCACCCTGGAACACAAGAAACGTCAGACACTCAAGCTACCAGCCTGAAAGCTTTCAGGAACTGTCACAGGTGTTTCCCAGTTCTTCCAAGCCCTAAGCCCACCTCCTCTTCCCAGCAGTTTTCTTCGAAGCAGGGCACCATTGCCATAAGGGCACGGCGGGCCGCAGGGCAGGGAGCAGAACTTGGCAGCTCTCGATTCCCATCTTCCACTGCTTCCAGAAGCAGTTTTGGCTGGAGAGGGTGTAACCAAGGACTGATGTTCCTACAGAAGTTACCAGGAGCTACCCTTCCTACCAGTTCTACCTGTGACAACATCAGGGCATTGAGCCGTCAGGGCATGGAGTTACACTGCCATGCAGAGCAGGATGTACGGACACTGAGAAAGAAAACTGAATGCAGGAGCAAAGACTTTCACAGCCTGTCCTGCTCAAGGTAATTTGAGAGGCTTATCTTTATACAACACGGTTTGGGAAGTGATATGAATACTTACTGCCTTTCTTTGCTCCCTGCAAACTCCCCATGCTGCTCTAGTAAAAGGCTGTGGTAAAACAAACTACACACACACATCGCTTCTCAAAGGAGGCACCGATGCCCTAAAGTAAATAAGCTTTTAAACCCCTGTGCATTGAAGCACTTGCTGGGCCTTAGGCGGGGGGAAAACAAGACAAACTACAGCTGTGAAATATGAAATAAGACAGGAATGAAAAAACATTCCTTTCTCCTCAGGAAGCATATGCAGAGCTGCAAGCATTTTGATCCACTCGTTTAAATTAGGCCTTGCAAATCAGCTGCCACGCTCACAGAGCTGAGAAACTGCTCTCACTGAGTGCATGCAGCAGGGGCCTGTAGGTGGAAGGTGTCCCAGCAACACCTGGAGGTGAACAGACCCAGCGGGAGGAGGGAGCAGTCCTGCTCTGCCCACCTCTTCTGCTGCTGTGGCTGTGCTCAGCTTCCTTCCCCCGCCCCAACCCTGGCATCTGCTGGAGCTTTTTCTGCTTTGAGATGTAGCACGACTGTGCAAGGAAGGATGCTAAGTGCACCACGAGATGTTTTGTGAGGTTTCAGCTTTTAATCTGCAGGTACAAAGTCAGCATTCACAGGAGCTCAGGGAACAGAGCATCTGGTGACTAGGAGCGTGCACTGCAGCCCGCCTCCCAGCCAGCAGCCACCCCAGCATCCTGCTCCCATTAAGACCAGTTCTGCTCAGCCTTCTCCTGGTTGCACGTGACAGAGGGTGAGGTTCCCCCCTGCTCTCAACACGCCTTGCTCCTGGAGCCCACCCACCACACCTCGCTGTAGGGAAAGCCTAATTCCTGCTGCCCGGTCCCTGGCTAGCAATGAGCTTGGATCCCCAGCTGGGCCGGTGCACCGAGCAGCAGCAAGTGTCATCCCGTGTAGGGGGAAGGTCAGAAGGGCTGTTTCCAAAGCACTGGTGTAACACCAGGATTTCAGCATCTTCAAATACCTGCCCAGGAACCAAGCACCTGGCTCAGTTTAGATCACGTCAGAGACATGAAGATAATCAAGATGAAAGCTGAGCCCCTGACAGCATCCAGCATTTCTGGGAGGCCATCCTTGTCCCCTGGCCTTCCCGTAACACTATTTTTCCTATCCAGCCTACACGGAAAAATATAAGGACCAAGAGTGACGTGCACAGCCACCAGCTCTGAATTTGTCAATACCTGGTTCTAGCAACTTGGGACTTGCCTCGCTCATCAGGTCCCAGTTGTTGCTGTCAGTGGTCTTCTGAAGGAGCAACACATCTTATTTCAAGGGAAGGAAACATTGTACCGGGTTGACTGAGCACTTTTGAAATACCTGGCAAGAGAAGATGTGAGGAATACCAGAACTTAGATTGAATGTTTTCCTGCTTCACACCATGAGCGCTGTTATCACCTACGCATGCAGGCAGAGCAGATTTTTTGGTCAAGCCCTGAAAAAGTCATGCATGGCAGATGAGAACAGGCATTTCTCTAAGTCCTCTCTGCCGTACACTGGTAGAAGCACCCCTGCAGGTACTCTTCAGTCCCAGCTGTGTGAGCAGAAGGTACTGCCTCCAAGGCTCGATGATCCTCAGGGGTCCCTTCCAGCCCGGGCTATTCTCCAGTTCTGTCTATCCAAGATCTGGTAAGACAACAACAATTTTACTTCAGGGCACTTTGAGGTTTCAGTGCCTTCTACAGGGAGACAAAAATCTGTTTCAGCCTTTTAACATAGCAGAACCATTCTGAAGCATCATCCACATTTAAACGTTTTTCCAATCAGGACGTGCAAACCTGGCCATTCTCGGACCCAGCTGAGATGTGACGGGTTCACCTATCAGTCCCTGACGTGAGGTGAAGCAGCCCTGACAGATGAGTGACCTTCAACCTGTAATAACTGGTTCATTGCCTGCATTTTCTCTGCAGATGCACCTGTATGACCACATTCACCAGCAGGTGTACCCACACACTGAGCAACTCCAGCTCAGCTGCTGGCAGCAACCCCTGCGAGCCAGCTGACAACACAGCCCCAGTCGGGAGGTGCCCTGCTTTACAACAAGCTGAGCCTTCTCAGTCACCAAGAAACTTGTGTAACGTAAGCTTGTACCGGGATGTGGGTATAGAAGACAAGTTCAACACCTCAGTTTAGAAGAGCCAAAGAAAACCTTGCCTGCAACCAGGCGATCAGGCCCAGTCAGCATGGGTTTATGAAAGGCAAGTCCTGCTTGACGAACCTGATCTCCTTCTGTGACAAACTGACATGCTGGGTGGATGAGGGAAAGGCTGTGGATGTGGTCTACCTTGACTTCAGCAAGGCTTTTGACACTGTCTCCCACAGCATTCTCCTCAAGAAACTGGCTGCTCGTGGCTTGGACTGGCGCACGCTTCGTTGGGTTAGAAACTGGCTGGATAGCTGGGCCCAAAGAGTCGTGGTAAATGGAGTCAAGTCCAGTTGGAGGCCAGTCACTAGTGGCGTCCCCCAGGGCTCGGTGCTGGGGCCGGTCCTCTTTAATATCTTCATCGATGATCTGGATGAGGGCATTGAGTGCACCCTCAGTAAGTTTGCAGATGACACCAAGCTAGGTGCGTGTGTCTATCTGCTCAAGGGTAGGAAGGCTCTGCAGGAGGATCTGGATAGGCTGGACCAATGGGCTGAGGTCAACTGTATGAAGTTCAACAAGGCCAAGTGCCGGGTCCTGCACCTGGGGCGCAACAACCCCAAGCAGTGCTACAGGCAGTCTTACAAGGAGCAGCTGAGGGAGCTGGGCTTGTTCAGCCTGGAGAAGAGGAGGCTCAGGGGCGACCTTATCGCTCTCTACAGATACCTTAAAGGAGGCTGTAGAGAGGTGGGGGTTGGCCTGTTCTCCCACGTGCCTGGTGACAGGACAAGGGGGAATGGGCTAAAGTTGCGCCAGGGGAGGTTTAGGTTGGATCTTAGGAAGAACTTCTTTACTGAGAGGGTTGTGAGGCATTGGGATAGGCTGCCCAGGGAAGTGGTGGAGTCACCATGCCTGGAGGTCTTTAGAAGACGTTTAGATGTAGAGCTCAGTGATATGGTTAGTGTTAGGTCAGAGGTTGGACTAGGTGGTCTTGGAGGTCTCTTCCAACCTAGATGATTCTCTGCTTCCCCCTCCTTAGTTTGTCTTCCCGACTTACACTAGCGCTCCACTAACAGGGGGCTGCTTGAACAAGGACTCTTTCCCACATGTAAGTAACGCCAACAAATAAGGAAGAGGGATCAAAGGGCAAGTATTACCTACAGTCATCTCTAAAACAACCTTTCATATCCTGCTGCTCAGCTTAGGCCTCCAGATACAAGTATTTTCTCCCCTGTGCAAGTCTCAGGGACTTCCTTCTGATTTGTACAGCACGGAGACCAAAGCACAACCAGGTATTTTTTAGATATATTTTTTAAGTACAGATTCATCCAGAACTTCGATGAGTGCACACATTTTTCTCTTTGCCAAAACATACATGTAATGTTAGCTCCAACTCCACGGGATGTTACCTGGCATTGGCACAACCTGCCTGAACGCTGGGCCCGGAGAGGAGAAGCCTCTCTCCTCTTTGCCTGCACAGAAGGAGAAGAGGGCTGGCTCCGTATCTCCAGTGCTCCAAGAATAAGCACAGGGCAGTACCAAATGCCTGCACTAACTCTGCTGTACTCTGAAGTATTTGAGACAGGGAAGGGAAAGGACAACAGCATTGTGCAACAAGCCCCTTCCACAGCGCAATTAACTCTCATTTCCCTTGGCCCTGGAGTCCTCGGCTCCTTCACTCGGCACTGAAAGAAAAAACTGAAAGCTCTGGGGGCAAGGGAGGGGATAAAGGCAGCTACTGGAAGTTGTTCTCCCTGTTGGCTGTACATTGCTTATTTGGGCAGGAACAGGAGATGGTTGGTTTGTTGGTCATTTTTTCCATCAGAGGTCACCATAAATAAACTGCACACACATCACATCAAAATGGAGAGGTCAGGAGACTCAGGCTCACAAACCCCAAACTACGCTCCCCCCGGGTCACCCAACAGCCTCCAACAATCTGCTCCTTTCCCATTCTGCCACAAGACGCTCTTTCAGGGGGACCCCATGAAAAGCTCATCATCAGCGCCTGTCACACCGCAGTGCCACTGCCCTGCTGTCTCCTCACACTCCTACAGCGCCTTCCTTCCCCTCTCACTCCCCCCATGAGCAATCTGGAGCCAGGCAGAGCACAGCCCTGCTGCCTTCAGGCCCGGGGATCCCAGCATGGGGCCAGCCTCACCTTACTTCACCACCTGTGAGCTAGGAGCCAGGAGGAGACTTTCTGCTGGAGGCTGGCTGTCAGCTCTGGACCCGTCCCACAGCACTGACAAGGGTGAAGCAGGCTCACGCAGCTTCCCGTGCCCTGCTGCTCCTGTGGCCGCACGCCCAAGGCAGCAGGTCAGGCAGACCTAGCTCACTAGCTGCCCATCAAACCATCCTGGCTGCTCTCTCACAGGTACTTATAATGAGCAATCTACTTACTCAGGTGCTGGAACAGAAGGAATTGCTTTCTAATTAGAGCCACAGACACCAGGAGAACTATATAGCTAATAAGCACAAACAGAACCATCATTAGAGGAGACTTTATTAAGATTCAATTGAGACTGCAGACATTTGTTCTGCCAATAAGCTTAGGTAAAACTGATGCTTTGTATCCTTTAAACCTCAACTGGTTTAATCAGACTAGTTGAGGATATTTGATACCTCATCCCCTTGGCTTTTCTAAAAATGATCGCATCATATGTCCTATTTATTAATTGTGATTTATATCAAGATATTCCTCTATTTCTCTAGGGGGTATTTACAGAAGTTAAAATGCAGAGCCAGCCAATAAATCCATCCCGCGTGTAACGAAATGACCTTCCTAGGAAGCAAAACCCATCTCCCTGAAAAGCCGGAGAGGCCTTTGTTGGGTTTGCCGAAGCTAACTGCAGCTTGAAAGATGGCATCTTTGTCTAAGAGGCTGGAAAAATTGGTAGCTATCACGTTTGAGTGTATTATTAAAAGTGACAATTATCTCTGTATGCTTACAATTGCAACTTCTGATTTCATAGACTCTAACAAATGCACCGCGGCAGTTCTGGATGGCCTAGCATTAATAAAGCAAACCAATTTTGAATGCCCAAGGCCGGGACTTCAGGGACAGCAGATGGTGCCCAGGATACCCATTCTCACATTAGCATGAGAATAGCATGGAGTGGGTCACAGATTGCCTTTAAGCAAGCTTTCAGTTGTCCACACAATCTCTGCTTCCTACCAAATGAGACAACAGCGTTGCTTCGGTTTGTAATGTAGGTAATCAGTGCCTCGTTATATAAAATGCATTTCACGAGCAAGTCAGGCAATAAAGAAGTGCACCTTCTTTGTAACAAGCTGTGCTCTGTAAGCACCTGATTCAAACTTTGGACACAACAAAAGGAAGCAAGCAGTACTTGATCCAATGCATGAAAACACTTCTGGACAAATGACTTAGAGTTCTTGAAATTAGATTTTTTTTTTCTTTCCTTAAATTGCCTCTAATTTTATGTGCAATCAATTGCAGCTGTAATTGCTTGCAAGCACAAATGGCAGCATTTGGAGATCCAAGGTGACTAAAATTGAGGATGAGAACACACTCCAAATACAAATTTGGAAGCTGTGCTTCAGATTCTTTAAAAAGCACATGAAATCTGTGTGCTTACCTGGATTAAAAACAAACAAACAAACAACAACAACAAAAACGGAGACTCTCCTTATCACACAAGAGGCTTCACCCCAGTCCTAATTTATGCCTCAGAGTTAAGTTAAAAGCAGCAAAGGCCTGGACTTTCCAGACAGAAGCTCAAACTGATATTTAGGATATCATATGCACCCTCCCGTGAGATATTTCACCTTTCGAGTAAACATAGTTAGGTTCCACTCTGAACAACATGCACCACTGACTGTGTGCTTGGTATCTCCCTATTAATAATGAAAAGAGCGTTGTGTGTTTAGATGTCTTCTTGGCTGAGTTCATTCAGATTTCTGAATGAATTAATTAATAATTAATTTCTGATTTCTGAAGATTCGATTCTGCAGTCCTTTGCAGTTTGCACTTGTCCCTTGGACAGGGATGCTACACGAGTTTCCTTTCCTGGCTGGTTATTAACCATCAAGAGGATGTTTCAGCTCCACTCGTCACACACATCAGACAAATCTAATCCAGAAAAAACTACAAGAAGAAGTAAGTTTATCAAAAAAAGGGAAGTGCATTAATTGAGAGATTGCCTACTACCTCAAGAGCACTCTGCAAGAAAAGGCACAGAAGGGCAGAGCTCGCTTCTTCTTTCTCCATCCAAGAAATGAGAAGAAAAAAAGGGGAAGGGTGCTATTTCCACTCAGAAAACCAAGGGATTAAGAAGAGGAGCTGAACCAATCTACACTGAAGCCTTGTGCCCACGTACCTCTTCCTTATCACAGAATCACAGAAAGGCTCGGGCTGGAAGGGCCCTTAAAGCCCATCAGGTTCCACCCCTGCCATGGGTGGACACCCCTCACTACAGCAGGTTGCCCAGGGCCTCGTCTATCCTGGCCTTGAGCACCTCCAGGGCTGGGCCCCCCCAGCTGCGCTCACCACTGCACTGACTCAAAAACTGTAGCCTTGGCTTCCCTTGCTTGGGTCACCCTTGAGAACCCCTCAGTGGGAAGTTCAGAAGTGGAGACTGGGATAAAAACTATGTTGGGTTTCAAAGAGATGGTTGATTTCATTCCTAGCTAAAAGAGCAAAAATCTAGGATCACAGTGCTGGGGAGTCACTAGAATGGATGCCGGCAGGCTCAACAAGCCCTCCATTTCCCAGGCTGTTCTCTGAAACGAGCCTGTCCCTGACAAGGAGCTAGCAAAGCCAAGTCACTCCACACCACAGGCACACCCCGGATTCCAGACATGGGTGATGGTGAGGCAGCTGAGAATTACAGATTTACACACAACACAAACTGGCAGCAGGAACAGACGAAAATCCTTTGTTGATGTTGCTGTTCTTGTTTCTCATGTAACACAGTTTTCATTCCCTAAAGCCAATGCACTAATTGCCAACTGAAAATAAGTCATCTCATCATCTTACTTGAATAAATACCAATAGTTCTTGAGCGTGACTGGAAAATTCAAGAAGCCCTATCTGGGCAGTGAAAACACATAACTATTTCTGTATCTTGCTCAGCAGAATACTTGCTAAATGAACTGCTTGAAAATGATAGTTCTCTAGGAACATTTTGGGCTTGGGGAAAGCATCTGCATAAACTGGGGGTTGCTTTGGGTCACGAGATCACTGGACTCCACTGAATTCTGAGTGTCCTTCCTTGGAAGAGGACTGACAAAAGCTGGGGACTTCGTGGTTGACAGATGAAATATGAAAAAACACTGGGGACAGGGACTGAAACCCGGATCCCTATGTAATCTCAAGCAAATCTGCATAGGGCTTACTTTTGTTGAGCTTTGAGGATTGTTGAGCTTTGAGGATTTCAGTTTTCACTCAAATTCCTTCTAGTTGGATATTTATGGAGATGACAGTTCTAAAAAACAATATCAAATGAGAGCTTGCAACCCTGCCAGTGGAACATAACCTGCTGGAAAGAAGTCAATATTCAGCATTGCTTAATGGAGAGAAAACGTGAATCTATCAGCATTTCTTGACACTACCTTTGGGGAAAGAGCTCCCCACCGCTGCAGGTGTCTCCTTATGAGCAGTTCCCAAAGGTGAGCAGATGCAGGGGCAGTAACACCTCCTGGAGGGGCAGCTTCAACCCCTCCTGGCACTGCCAAGACCCCACACTCACTGCGGAGTGAGACTGAGAGAAAGGAAGAAGACAAGCCCAAATATTCCAGTAGAACACTGTATTTAAAGATGTTATGCTGCATTTGTGCTGGATATTTATAGCCGCAGAGCTGGGATGATGTCCATAGAAGAATTATTTTTATATGATCTCTAATATCTCATTTACTCCTCTCAGATTCTGCTAAGTAGCCAAGCTGGGGTGGTCTAACGAAAAAAAAGATAATACTCTGTAGCTAAAGCACTGCAGGCAAGTGTTGAATGTTCTGTAAAAACATAAACAGCTTCTTGTCTGCAAATCTTCTCTCCCTCAGATTTCTCATCTTTCACCCCTCAGTTCCCAAGATACTAGAATTTCCTCCATTCTGCGGTTACCTGGAGTTTTCTCATGGAAACAAGCACCAAACAGATTATGAAGAAAACAAACAATAGGCAAAAATCCCCTAAAAACAGCCCTTCGGCTTATTCCTCCCTATTCTTCCTGTGCAGGCTCAGAGCCAAAGATCCTCCAGTGACAGCTGAGGAGATCGGTGGTAAATGCAGTTAGCTGTTAGCAGAGGAAAAATCTTAAACAGCTTTTGATAAAAATTAAAGGTAAAAATTAAAAAAGGGCATAAACAAGTGACTTCTTTATTAGTTAACAATACAAACAACGTCCTGAAGATTAAGATGGGCAGTTTCTCTGACCCCATGGGAAAACCCTAGAATACAAAGCTTCTATCCCATGGCTGCCGTGACTTGTGGGTGGGATGGCAGGAAGGAAACCCCACGCCGTGACGAAACCTCAAGTCATCCGTCACGGGCATGTGCTCTCCCCTTGCCTGGAAGCACCTGGCCGAAGCTGAACAAGGAGGATATTCTGCCTTGGTCCGGCCGTGAGGAACGGCTTCCAGTGAGTGGCAGCTACAGACCTGCCAGGCCCAAACGGGCTGCACTTACCGAGCTTTTATGTCATTTGCCTCTGGCCATCCTTGCGAAGAGCGAGGATGAGTTTGCATGGTTTTCACAAAGACCTCCAAGAGATAAATAAAAACAAGTTTCTAGCTGGAAGAGGCAAAGAGCAGTGAGGTTAATTGAGCAATCCAGCCTCTCACCGCAAGGTCACGGGAGAGGCAGGGACAGAATCCGCAGCAGCTGGTTGCAGTCCCGTGGTCTCAGCACGAAAGGTATCTTCCAGTGATCTCCCGGACAGGTTTGCCTTGCCCAGGGGCATTCAACGAGAGACCAAACTCTTCTACGTGCCCCTGCTACAGGAGCTGCACGGATGTGCACAGAAGGTTGTTTCGGTGACAGCCTTCGGGGCTGCTTGCAGAGCTCCTCTGTCTTACCGCCTTGTTTGGTTTTAGGCTCTTCCCAACTTTTAGTTTAAGCTGAAGGCTCCGGTTCATTGTTTCTCAGCAATAAACTGGTTTCCCTAAGAAGACTAATCAAAGTTTGATGAGGCCCTTGTGCAATGGAAAGACTGATGAGATATATTAAAGGGTAGGTGTGGGGCAAAAGTGAAGATAAGAGCAAAAACTCCCACCGAGTTCAATGGAACTGTGATTGTTGTTTTTATGCATATCTTTTCCCAGGGCTCTAGCTCACATTTTAGTGTATTTGTGTAACTACCTCAGTATCCTGGTAGACATTCATGGTA